GAGGCTGCCCCGGGCTTGCGACCTGGTTTGATTAATGAGAGGTTCTTCCTCAGGGAATAAGGCGACCTCTGTGCGCTATGATGTGGAAAATTTGAGTGTTAGGGTGGATGGACACCCAGTGTTGACGTAATTTTGGCACTGAGATCTAGTTACCTCCATGAAAATTGGAGGTATTGTTTTTGGCGCGTCTATGTGTGTGTGTTTGAGTTTCCGCATATTTGTAGTCAGCATAACTCCATAACGCCTTTATGGATTGTGATGATATTTGGTATGCTGGTAGGTCTTAGGAAGCCAAAGGTCAAGGTCAAATATGGGCCTCCTGGTGGATGACCTTGGTACTGCAGCAGAACTTCCGGTTTTTGTATCTTTTGTCCTGAACATGTTATGGTCTTGATTTTTGGGTGACATATAGATTGTCCTGCCAGGATATTGGTGTGGGTTTGGTCCCCCTAGCAGCTTGTTCTGAAACTGCAAGGGACTTTCGGGGGAAAATCTTTAAAAGTCAATAGGTCCAGACAGGAACAATGTATTTTCATCATTTTTGGTAGGTAGGTAGCTGAGAGAGATGTACATAACTTAATGCAAATTATGCAAATGAGGACTTTATTTGCATAATAAATGAGGAAATTCTCTAATTACAGTGTTTTACATTGTAGTACTTTAATACATGTAATGTATGTAATCTTTGGCAGATGGAACATCAACAGATACCAATAATGCAAATTATGACCTCATTTGCATAATTAATGCGAAAATTCAATGGGTAAATGATGGGAATTTCCTACTTGGTGTAAATTGTAAATTCATCAAAAGTTAACATCACGATACATTAATTATGTTAATGTGGAGGTCATTTGCATAATTAAAGAGGAAATTTACATTTACACGTCAAGCCCATATTTCATGGAGGTATGTGATCTCAGATCTCTTGTATATATATGTAACGTTTGATCCAACTGAAGAGCTCACACTTCATTTTTCGTCACATTTCCCTATATGTAGTTTTAAAACTCCCCGTTGTTGGAGTTCTTTATAGAACCGATATTCTTTACCCATTTTGTGTTTTCTTTCCTGGATAACCGGCTCGATAAAATCCCCGGGGTAGTAGTGATAAGGTAAGGGCTTCTTGTTTTTATCCTGCTTGAAGGGAAAGAAGCCGTACAGATGCAGCTGGTCACAGAACGTAGTGGCGGTGAGAACTGTCGCCAGACCAGTGGAAGGAGGACCTCTGGGCTTAGTGCCATTGTTCCACGCGACATCCGACGCGACCCTGAGATTTGAAAGAAAAAGGTAGAGAAAATTGTTGAGTTGTAATGATCATAGCCTTCCTTATACTCCGGATGGTTGCCATATTTTTCGCCAGATATTGGTGTATTATATACTTTTGTAGGTGCAATGTTTATTTGGCGTTTTCCCCGAATTTGCCCGAAAGATGCTTCTAACTGATCCTGCAAGGAGACGAAATCAAGGAAAATAAATTAAAAAAATGAAGACATCCACATGCTTGTGAAATTCCAACTTACCTGTGAATTAGAGATTCATCTCTAAAACTATCCTTGCTGGTCAACAAGACGAACGAAAGATTTTGATACTTTTTCAATGCCAGTTTCAGTAAAAATTTATCTTTTGCAGTTGAAACTAGAACTGTGCCGTTGATGTCTATCATTCGACTCTCGTACACATCCTGAGTCCTGTTTTCCAATCCAGATGAACTTTTTATCCGCCTAGGAGTGCTGACGTTTAAAATTGTCATGTTAGTCTTTCTTCCAACGTCTCTTTCGAACCCCCTAATCGCCGAGAGGTGCATTCGTATGATGTAGTCCTTAGAATTGATTTCAGAACCACAGTGACTTCCCAATAGGATACCTCCGTTGCCTACAATTGCGCACGTTGTTTGAAGACTAACGTTATGCTTAAACGGCGCCGGATGACACGATTTTCGTCCTCTCCTTCCTCTTTTCTTTTCACAGGGCCAGATTCCCAACTTGTGTGTCCGAAGCCTCGCGTTGGGATGCAGCATGGCAGTAGCATTTCTGAAAATGGAATACTCGGTTATTTCTACTTAGCATCTTTTGTTAAGAAAAAAATCGTTCCGACAGCATTTTGACATAAGAATCTTCACCTAAAATTAAGTTTGGGGTCACTGGCCAAAGTCCAGTATAAATATTTTGTTTTCAAGATTTTACGAAAAGAACTTGGTACACCCATGGAGGCTACCTCCATGGTACACCATGGTCGAATTATGAAAGAACCGGTTGACCATCTACAGGAACAGTTTGAACTAGAGTTCCACGATCTCATACCTTCGCCAAATGATGTTAGCCTTTATGACTAAGAAATTATAGATGAATCCCCCTGATTGTGCGAATAGGATCCTATATTGCATCAATTATATCTGTTGATCATATTCTACACCAGAAGACAGTCTTATCTTATCAATGCATGCCATTATAGCATGTCCTCATAAATTATGCAAATGAGGTCCTTATTTGAATAAATTATGTTTAATAATGTTCACCTTCACATAACTTTCAAATATCCCAAGTATGAAATTCCAGACATTACCACTATGTAATTATAACATTTTCTCGTTAATTATGCAAATTAAGTCTTCATTTGCATAATCGATATCTGCCTGTATTTCTGCCGTTCTGCATTAC